TCTCTCTCTCCCTCTCTCTCTCTACTTAGACGTCCACTTAATAAGGTTTTGTTTTGTGTTTCTTGCCTTTTGTCAATGCTCCTACTGAATTTAGTAGATTTAGTAAAAACGACTTTTGATGCTTAACATGTTTTTTTAGATGCGCTGGTCATATGTTGTTTTTTGATGCTTACATGTTTTTTGATCCCTCACCATCCCTGAGTGTCGCCACCTTTTTTTTTTGGGGGGGGGGTGGGATAAGCGCCCAGACTAGACCTTTTCTTTTCTGTTCCCCCACCTGGAGAGCTGCTACCCAACCCTGGTTGTCCCTATGAACCCTGGCGCCTTTCTGCAAGTGTTAAGCCCCAATTCCAGATGGAGGAAAGGAGTGCAACAAGCTACAAGTTCTGATTTGCATCCACGTTTTGCGATTGGGGGGCTCCGCATCAACCTCCCTGTCATTTCAAGAGCAAAGGCTCGTATCGCATCTTCTTCGTCCATGTTATGCAAATTTATGGTTCCCTGCCACCCACCCAACCTCCACGATGCTGCCCACGACCCCTCCGCCATTTGTGATGCGAGCAGAAGCTGTTGTTTACAGCATTCGCAGTTCCTGTCTTACCAGGGCCTGATTTATTCGAAGCCTGTAAGTATTGTAAGTGCTGTCATTAGCCATGTTTGCAGCCTTAGTGTTCGGGGCCTTGAATTGCTGCACGTTGCCGCCGCTCCCCTGCTTTTTTGCTCGTGCATTCAGCATTCTATTTGATTATGATGAAGTTTGGAAATTGGGGGTGGGGGGGCGCGGCCCCTCCCAACACCTCCGCTTGTTTAAGCCTGTTGCTAAATTACTTGCAGCCAGGTTGTTGCACGGCTTCAAAAAGGAGGATTGAAGGGTGCACCCCCATTGGCAAACGTAGTGATCAGATGTCACGCTGAGCATGCCAACCTTTTGAAAAAAGCGGGTGGCGTGCCAAAATTCGCGAGCAGAATGATCAGATGAAATGCTTTTCATTCGAACGTTCGAAGATTCACACTTGATGTCAGCGCTTAGCAACAGGATTATGGGACGCTGCTTTTTGTTAGGTAAGCTGAATGCACATCTTGGAAAGCACGCATTGGCAAGCGGGTATCTTAAGACGTTCGTCTGAACGTCATCTGTGCCCCCCAAGCTCCCCTTTTCTTCAATCGGTCGGCACCAAAATCATGACATTTGATCCCCCCCTTCCCCGCACTTTCCAGAAGGGGCTGCACACTCCCAACCCACCGTTTTTTGAATGCAATTGCTATAGCTAGCCTTAACAGAATGCCACTCGACCGCCTTTTTTGAAAAGACCTGTGACCCGTATTGCCAAGCCTCGTTACAATGACCACTGAATAACCATGTCATTGTTTGCAAAGGTTGCTTGGTCGGCCAGGTGTTTGCCCTAGTTCGCCTGAGCAGCATGACATCTGCTCATGATGTTTGCATAATTTTGCATATTCGATCACCATGTCCGAGGCCGGTGTTTTTAAAGGGCATGCCCAACATCCCTTTTGGGACGATTTCGGCTCGCAAGAATCGCTGTGCCTGGGCGGGTCGTTCAACATGGTGTCCGCGTCTCTTTTCTCAATCTGGCATCCTCATCGCACTCCTGCAGCAGTGCAGGATTGTCGTCGTTTTTGGCGGCTTTTTTTTTCGTATCGTGAAGTACAAAACTTTCGTTCTTTCTTGCCACAAATTTAGCACGTTGTGCGCTCCGGTGTGTATGGTTTTCCCAATTCGGCGTCCTAGCGCGCTTCCACCACAGCCCTGTCCTCATGCTTGTCGCGAAGTGCAGGGATGTCGTTGCATTTGACAGCTCGTTCTCGTACAGTGCAGAACTGTTGGCGCTGTTGACTCCTAGCGCGTACAGGCCCTGCGAACGGGCAGTAAGAAACAACCTCAGCCTATGTGGAACCCGTGTTCCTTTTTGGCGTGCATTCGCGAGTCCCAACGCATACAAGCCCAGTGGAGCCTGTGTTGGTTTTCTGTGTGTATTGGAAAAGCTCTGTGAGGCTCCCAGCACACGGACCCTGCAAACGCACTGAAAACAAAACTCTGCCTGTGCAGATTTTTTCTCCACCCTTTTCTCATCGTTTTTGTCTGCATTCGCGATATTATGCGTCCTACGCGAACTGAAGGCACAACAAAACTACGAAAAGGGAGCACCGAGCGCATCCACAGCACAAGGAAAGTACAGCAAAAAAACACCTCGAGCGTCAAGACTCTGCGTTTTTATTTGTGACGCCTCTGACTTTCTGGACAACATAGGAGCCCCATTTCCAGCAGGAATGCCGGCTCACTCCAGTCAGCATGTACTTCTTTGCCATGTTCTTTCCATGACGGTTTTAGGTAAAAGGCACGTGGATGGTACCTGAGCCTGAGTGTGTATAATTCATAATCGGTCCTGGACTGCAGAAGGTTGTAAGGCTGAATGGCAAGGCCGATTTTTCAAGCCTCCGAGCCTGAGTTTTGGTCTTTGCAGCCTGCAGTTCGCTGGCGCGCCTATCACGATGCTTGCCAGCCCTTGGAGCCCCCCGATGTGGATGAAGCCGGAAGCCCGGGATCAATGCCATCCGCCGATGATATGTTGTTGTGGAATCGTTGTTTAGAGGAGAATGAGGGAGAATGAGGAGGTTGGGTTACTTTGGCTCCGATATGGTGCAACAGTGACTTCAGTCGCGGTGCTTCCGTAGCTGGTTGGATGCAAGCCAGAGAGCTGGTCGCAGTACATAGGCCAAACCCCTAGGTTCCAGACTCTGTAACTTGTATGATGTATTCGCTCAGCTTGCTGACCTTGATGCCGGACCGCGCCTGTTGAACATTCCAGGACCAAGATGGAATTCTATGGCGACGGGCACCTGAAAAAGGAGTGTCGTGCACCTAGTGGTTCAGGGAAAGCCTTGAAGAAGTATGGGTTGGCTTTCTTTAAGTAGTGAGAGACATTTAGGGTGCATGTGTATTCAGGGAGGATTCCAGAACGTTGAGCCACATCATCTTCGTTAGCGTGCGACAGAGTCCTTCAGAGTTTGCGGGAGCGTAGGATTGGGATTCACACCTGGCAGCTGTTCTGTTCAGCATGTGTTGGCAATGATTCTGCTGTTCATCTCACTTTTTGCACGCAAGGCTATGGCGCTTGGGCATACCACTTCGTGCGCTTCGTCCAGGCATCCCATCTGATTTGAATTGTAGACATGATCAGCCAGTCGAGGAACATGTCCTTGAGGCTTCTTGTCTGTTAGGAGATGGAGAAGCTGGACGTTCCCATCTGGGCGCTCACCGCGGGCTTCCCAGTTTGCAGTTCCCAAAGCTGGCAAGATCCAAGAAAAACTGGCCTACTTGGAGGCAAACTGGGCCGCATTTTTTTGCTTGTACTTTCAGTCTAGGATGCGACCCGGCCATAGCAACGAAAATCAGATCTTGGAAAGCTTCCTTGGAATACCTCGAGCACCAAAGCCCTGAAAGAGGGACTTGAGTCCTGTGAACTAAAGCAAGGTTGTTTCCAGCATTTTCCAGCACAGGTCCAAAACGAGCCGGAAGCGGCGCAGATTTGGGAGTCATGCATCTACACTGCAGAGGCTCTGTGGCACTTCTTCCGCAAAGTTCAGGGTGCGGACGTCTTGGGTGAACGCAGAGGTTCTGTCCACGTCAGTGCTGCAGCTGCACCTGCTTCGTGAGCATTCCCTTCCCACCAGGAAGAGAGGGACTTCGTGCGAGACCACTTGGGTCCTGCTCTGGAGGAGAGGGCTTGGTTTCTTTGATGCCCCGCAGAGAAGAACGTAGCAGCTGCAATGGTGCTTTCGAGGATTTGGCGCCTTATCTCAGGCTGTAAGTTTAGGTGTTGGAAGTCAAACGTTTCACTTAGGCTGTGTGCGGCAGCTTAATTGGCGCTTCCTGTCTGACATGCCTCGTCCAAGAGACGCCTGACCAGGCTGCAGATCTCAGCAGGGTGAAGATCATCATCTGGGATCACAACCGCACCTTGACCCAAACAGAGCACGGCAGCAGAAGTTTGTTTCTCTGGAGGACAACGCAATCTCAGCAGCGCATGCATCCTGAAGTGTACCTGGTATTTTGCAGCCACTTGTAAACGACGCTTCGACCCGTCCCTTGCAATCCCTGTTTCACGCCTTGAAGCCGCCATCGCGCCTAGGTGATGGCATGCTGCGACCTCAGGCAAGTACAGAACGCTGTGATCTGGCAGGGCGTCGGATTGCCAGTGTTCAGATGCCTTGAGGCTTAAATGTACAACTCAGGCTGGAGAGAGCTGCTGTTGCTTACGCAGATGCCTCTGCCTTGAAGCCTGCAGCCTAGCTTGTGGCCGAAATGTCAATCACATCTCGTACTCCCGTTGCAATGGGCGGTTGAAGCATTTCCGCAGTTTGTGAGGAGCTAAATCTTTCTGATGGATTCCAATCACCAGTTGCACTGCCCCCGTAACGATGCAGGTACATCTGGGGTCTCGGCTACCACTGGTGCGCCCTTCCCGGAGAAAACACACTGCAAGAAACTGCGCACTGACCTAGCCAGGTATGGCGATGCGCGATATGAGACCTGGCCTGAGTGCCACGAGATCGATTATGAGGCTTCTGGACACGAGTTCAGCTGCGATTGTGGTGATTATCACAATGCTCTCTCGCCACCCACTGTATCCTTAGAGTCCGGCTGCTGAAGCAGGACTTGTTCCTGTGTAAGCTTTTTTTTTGTAGTCATATTCTGCAATCTAGAGATTGGCTCTGGCTTGGAAAAGATACAGAAACTTGATGCCGTGGTTTTGGATTAGCTCTTCCATATGTCTGCCATGGTTCTGTAATATGTAATACCTGCCTATGACAGGATCGAAAGAACGGAGGCTCTGTGAATGAGCTCAAAGCAAGGTCTGGCAACGTCTGGGATGTGCCTGCAAAGGTAGAGACTGTGCAAATTGTTTCGGTTTGTCCTACGATGTAACCTAAGACCTCGCCTGAGATGTTGCGCAGCTTTGTCATGCTGTGCATCAGATGTTTTCGACAGCCTCTTGAGATTGTCCTTTCTGCCAGGCTGGGTTTTGAGAATGTCCGTCGCGTTGCAGAGCCCCGGCCACAGATTCGTCCGACCTTGCCCCAACCCATTCTGCGTTATTAGTGTCTTGAGCTGAAGCTTCAGGCTGCAACCAGACAAGCACATTATCTTCACAGAGGGCTGCCAGGCCTTTCTTTGAGGGATGCCAGTCAAGATGTTGTTTCCAGTCAAAAAGCATTTTCCAATCAACAGACGCTCTTCCACAATCGTAAAAGCTTGTCTTTTGAAATCTAGACACAGAAAGCTCGTAGGTAAGAACAAGCAGAAGGGAAGGAAGAAGGAAGGAAGGCGTTTGGAGAGATTCAGAAGCAACTCCTCGGAACACCCATCAAGATATCTCCTACATACACCAACATGCCCAATATTTACCCCCTATATGCTTCTTACATACCTTTCCTATCCCCTGATACGTCCCCCTACATAGCCGGTAACAAGGATTGTTGGTTCGGGGTCGCCATCCTCGTAGCTGTCGTCGCTGTCAGAACCTTGTATCCTCTTGGAGTTTCAGAAGCGTCAGCAATCACAGGGATTGTGCGACTCGGGTTCGCGATCTTCGTATCTGTCATCGCTTTTGGACCCATCCCATTAGACAGAGACAAAAAAGAAAGATAGTAGCAAAGAAAGCAGAAAACCGGAAAGAAAGAAGCAACATGCAACAACAAGAGATGGCCGGCAAATCCTGAGCTTTAAGACGAACAGTTGGCTGGCAAACCTTGAACCCTGAAAGGAGATGCTGGCTCACAAGCCCTAAGTCTTCTAGCAGTGCAAGCCTGTGGGGAACCTTTATCAGGAAACGTACGTGTCCACTGTTTGCAGTAAAGGAGCAGTAAAGGAGTCTTATGCAGATGTGCAAATTGGGAGGGCTGCGCCACCCCCAACCCCCGACTTTTAAAGGCCGTCCATGCTTGCAGTAAACAAGAAGCATCATGTCATCACCATGTTTGCAGTGAGGGAATGTTGTGCGGATCAGTTTGTTCCCCAATCAGGAACTGTTTGGCGTCCCTTCCAAAGAAGAAAAGAACAACACGGTGACTGCATGGTCTGCACGCGATTTGGAGCTGTGGCTTGGGCTCGCGAGGCTGGATGGGTAACTGGGCTCAGGCGGCTGGGAGCTGTGGGCTGGCGGTGAGGCTGCAAGGCTGGATGGGCGCCATGCTCGGAGCTGTGGGCAGGCTGGTGCTGTTCTTCGAAGGCAGTGGACCTCAATGGATCACAGGGCTCAAACTCAGAGCTGTTGGCTCGGGGTGGGTGGGCTGGCGGCGAGCCTGCGGAGGTGGCAGATTTCCCGATTCGCGGCTTGAATCTGAGGGAGGCCCGAATTCTGGCCCGAATCCGATAACCGAATCCGGCTCCGAATCCGAAGCTCGAATTCGTGAAGCCATGTACAAATTCAGGATCCCACATTCTAAGGCGTGAGTCCGAAGCTCGCGTCTGAAAGTAGAATTCGAGACCTGAATTCGGGCCCGAATCCAAATGAAGCCATACCCAAAGTCGGAGATTCAGGCCCGGCAAACTGTATCCAACGCTCGGAACCGAAGCTCGAATCTGAGGTTAGAACTCCTTTTCTGCCAAATCAAGAACGCGTCCGGCCTTGTGTCCGGCTAGGGCTGTCCAAGCGGAACCGGGCCCCGAATTTTGGCATGGCTTCTCCAGAGCAGTGCATTTTACTATGCCACAACAATCCAAAACAACAAGATCGTGACAACGATCATGCAGATGGCAATCATAAGTAGATTACGTGCAAAGTTTAACCCTAATCTGACCCCAAAAGATGACTGACTACCGTGTGAACATGCGTGCTTGTTTGTACTTCGCACAGGGTTTCATCCATGCTGTTTGTTTTTTTGCCAGTGCTAATTTATAACTGCGGGTGGGGTGTGGGCCCCGCAACTCCCCACTTTTCATAATCCATCCATGCTTGCGGTAAAAAAGCATTTTAGCGCCATGCTTGCAGGGGAAAACTGTGCAGATCATTTGTTGCAAATTGAGGGGGCTTCGCCCTCCCCAGGCACCACTCTCTCAAGGCCGTCCATGCTTGCAGTACACAAGAAGAGTCATGTCATCACCATGTTTGCAGTAAGGGAAGGTTGTGCGGATCATTTGGTTTGCACAGGGGGCTGCCCCACAAACCCCCGGCTTTTTCACAGCTGTCCACGCTTACGAAAAAATCATGTCATCGTCATGTTTGCCGTAAGGGAGAGTATAGGAAGACTTTGCGGATCATATTGTTTGCAAAGGGCCGGGGGTTGCGAACGCTGCAACTGGCAAGGTCTGCATTCTTGACAAAGCTCCGAATGCTGTAATTTACGACATGCATTGGCAACCTCTTGAAAATTCAGAGCTGGTGTGCTGTGATTTACAATGTCTGCAAATTTAAAAACTTCTTCTAATACTGTAATTAATGTATCAGCAAGCTTTACAAAGCTGCCCATGCTGTAATTTACAGTATCTACCAGCCTCGAGGATCGCGACCCGACCCCCTCGATTTCTGTGACTATTGACACGTGTTAAGCTCCAAAAGGATCCAAGGCTCCATAAGCAACGACAGTTACAAAGATCGCGACCCCGATTCCACGTTCCCTTTGACTGTTGACAGCTTTTAAACTCCAAGAGTATCCGAGGGTCTAAGAGCGGAAGGTTTTTGTGCTCGCCGGAGCAATGCAAAACCATTACACGAGCACCCAAAACCGTAGACAGTTCCTTATTTCAAAAAATGCAAGTTTTTTGATCGAGAGGTTTTTGATGGACAGAAAGTCTTTTGTTGATGCTCAGGACAAAGCATTCTTGTTGAAAACAACGTTTTTTGATGGCTTTTCCTTTCTGTGCTTCCTTCTTTGGGTTGTAGGTTGGTCAGCAAGGAGTGCAAGATTATGGAAGACTTGCTCCCCACAGTCTCTTCAACTTTTTTGAAGCCAATGATAACCTCTTAGATGAGGGGTGAGCGAGCTGCAGCTTCGGGCTCTTTGGTCCGTACTCCGGCGGTGCAGGCTGCTCCTAAGTCGATTCCATGCTTCAGGAACTCTCCAATCGAAGCTTGGACGAGATGCTTGGGGCGGGGACCTTTGTCTTCTGGGTTCCATTGCAGTCTCGGATATTTGCAAATGGAGGTAAGGTGTAGAGCTTGTTTGAGGTCTGGAAGATCGGCGAGAGGTACGCGGAGCTACCCTTGAGCCTGTGAGGACCTCAACCCCCTCCCCCCTCCCGCGTTTACCGCAAGCTATCCTGTATTTTACGACATGTCTGTATGCCTCCCAATCCTTGTACAGCAAGCCCAGCTTGCCTGAAGCCTGTGCTGGCAACAGCTGCATGTGCTAGGGAAGTTCGCGGGGTTGCCTTGCAGAAGGTGGGCCTCGGCTGGGATTTCGCCAGGCGTCTACGGCAGGAATTCCCACGAAGGAGCCACACAAGCTAGACGGGTTCTCACCCAGCAATGAACGTGGGGGAAATCCTTCGCCTCGCCCACTTCGAGGTCCGGCTTGCTGGAGGTGAAGACGCAGATCCAGCAGCCAAGAACAGCCAAGATTCCTCGATGTCATCATGGTTCCATATTGGACCAGCTCTCAATTCTGACTGGCTGTGCGTCCAGCGTTCCGGGCGATTCGTGCAATGCAGCCGTCAGAGCAGGAAGATATATGAAGAGATAGTGTGCGCCAACACAATTTCAGTGGCTAGCGCAACATGACAGAAGGCCAAGCCAGCAAAAGCACACGGCCCCAGGCGATGAGATCGAGGGCACAAGCTAAGCTGCAAGTCTGGCAGGTGTGCCACATCATCAGTACAGGGTTGTGAGAGATACCCTCCGAATATCGAATTTTACCTGGAGAGCTGCCGTCTGCTAGCTCGGCAATCTGAAGGAGATTTAGTCTCACTGTGGAAGATCTTTGGCATGGCACGCTGAATCAAGCGGCTGTGCCATCAGGGGTGTGGCACGCTTATATGCTCCAAACATGCAACCTTGCTCCCGAGCATCTTTTGAAAGAAGTGACAAGGCTACAGCAAATCACTCCCTGTGGAGGTATGGAATGAACATCATCAACGACATGAATCATGGAGCTGAGCTGAGCACGTGCAGCAAAGTTGTTTGGATGGTTTTCGGGGGTCCTTGACCGAGACCTGGCTTCTTGGATGAGTCACAGAAAGCTTATTCTTGTGTAGATGCCATGCAGTGCTCGCAGTGCCTCACAGCGGCCTTCACCAGGCTGCGAAGGATGGATTGACTGGAACCTGTGCTTGGATGAGAAAGGACCGGGAGCGCTGTAGGTTGAGATCTTGAGGTTCATACTTGCTGGCTTCCTGCAGATACTTCCGGCACATACTATGATTGAAGCACGGCTGTCCCTGATCGCTCATCAGGAGGACCGAATCATGTGGGCAATTTCTGCGGGGGTCCCGGTTCTTCAAGGTTGAAAACTATTCCTCGTTCTACGGCGCCAAAACTGGAGTTGTCAACCTTAAGAGAAAGTCACAAGATGACAATATGTATACCTCATTTCTGGCTTTTAGGTGCTGACCTGGCTTGTTGTTCCCCAATCTGCAATGTGCCCACTTAAGGGCTTAAGTTCGAGCCGGATGTACTTCAGGCCTTGCATACTCCAAGGCACAAGACCTTACGAGCATACGCACCAATCCTTTTGTGAGTCAAAGGCTCTGCCCCCATCATCTGTGATACGCGCAGCGACGAGCTCCTTCGGCAGCCTTCATACTGGCTGGGACCCCAAGAGACTGGTGGAGGAGGGCCATCTTAAGTTGAAATGAGACCCCAACGATGCACTGTAGGACGGGGCGTCTTCTGACGAACTCTATGATTGTTCCTCTCTCACTGCCTAGTGATGCCAGGTACATGGGCCACTTCTCCCGGTACATCAAGCCTGGGGCCTGCCGCGCCGTTAGCAGCACATCCCGCGACGTGCTCGAGGCTCGCAGAGGGCCATTCCAGACATAGTCATCAAGTTGTGACCAGAAGAGACCTTTGTGGGCAGCATATCCGCACTCTCCTGAGCAGATTTCCTGTTCGTCCAGCCCCTCATGTTCTGGCTTGTTCAGGTGACCTCTTGGGTCAACCCCGACGGCAGTACCGGCCTTGTAAAGCCTCTGTGCCCATTGACAGACTTTTCTGGCTACCTGCTTTCTGCTTTGAAGCTCGTGTACTTCAGGTTTGGCCGTTGTGGTGATGAATCAGAGTGCGGAGAGTGTTGAGTTCTGGCTGAAGGCCTGCATTGCTTTGGCTGGATCATTGCATTCCAATGTGCACAAACAGCATGCTTAATCCTGGCTATTGATGGTGACTTAGTAGTAGACGATATCAGACCTATCATTGTCTAAGCTGGGGAGGCTTGGTGCGAACCAGGACTAGTACTCAGTACTTGGCACCCAAACCCGCTGTGCCAAGTGCCAGGTGCAGGGATCAGGTGCAGTGCGCACCGAGGTGCCACAGCTCGAGTTGTGGACCAGGGCACTAGGAGTCTTCAGGAGTTTCAGACTCAGGGTTTCGATTTCGGATTTTTGCTATTCTGAACGAAGGTTTGCTCGAAGCATTGATTGCTGGACTGGCTAGTGTCTGAGCTGAGACCCAACCAGTCGCAGATATTTTGTCTTGCTTATACAGGCAACCAATGCTGCGCAGGACAGCCCCTTCAGCAATACCAGTCTGCCATGAGATTCCATTCGGACCCCTTCTTCCAGAGTTGCTCCGAGCTTGCAAGCTGCAGCATCCCATCTCAGCTCCTGCGATACAGGCCCCAGCCCGCTCCATCACTACTTACCTGGTGGATGACGCAGAGCCATCGGGCTCCTAGAATAGAGGAATCGGTTTCTCGAAGCTGCTGCGGGAGATGATTTCATAGGTGCCCCCCCTTTTCAGAGATAGAAAGACGACTGTGGTCCCAGCTGCCGTGACAACCGGAGCCTTACCGCCTCCCGTGGTGAGCTTTTCGAATGAGTCGTTGGAGGCCTTTCGGAAGCTCGTCTCCAGGCGCAAACAGCCGTTACCTGGATTCGATGCACTGCTGGCCGCGCTGGAAAAATCATGTCGCTTGCTTTTGTCATGTGATGTGTTCTGTCCACTGGAGCCCGAAACCCTGGATCCCTAGTGACCCAGCTAGGCAGGCAGCAATCAGCACAAGGCTATCATTTCTGGTTGCAAGCTGTTGAGGGAAAGCACTGCCAATGAAAAATTTTGACAGCTTCAGTGGTGAATGGAACGTTGACATTTTAGTAGTAGCCAGAGGCGTAGGTGATGAAAAGCGTCGACGAATCAACAACACGCGTTTCACGCGACAGCACGAGAATACACCGCGCCGCACGTTCAATGCCTACTGTACAGTCTTGTGGCGTTTTGCTGTTTGCTCTCTAAGGCTCCCCTAAAGTTTGCTGGGCATTTCAGGAGGCGCCGTAGGTGCTCTACGTTGTTCCGGCAGCAGTGCGGGTGTTCTTCAAAGCCCCTGCTTCGATCCTGAACTCCTGATGTGTTTCGATGGGCACGTCGCGGCCAGAGGCACGTTCAGAAAGTGTGCTGAAGCTAGTTTAGATCCTTAACAACAGATTCATGAGTGCCCCGCCCGCCGGCAAAGTCTTCTTGGCCCAAGTTGCAGCGTTGGGTTCGGGACACTTGCGGGGACCTCAGCCTCGTGTTCAGTATCCTGTGCAGAGATTCAAGACTGAGCGCTACAAGACACTATGCACCGGTGCCAACAAGATGTTCCAAGGCCTTCTCCTGCGACCGCCTTGGGCACGCAGGCACGGACTGCTTTGATGCCGCTGGACCTCACAAAAGCACTTGACATGTGGGTACTTCCAATCACAGTTAGTTAGTGCATGGTGATGAAGTGGATTTGTGAGATAGTACTCAGCTTTTGGGCTGAATTTTTGCAGTTTGCCCGCAGCTGTGGAGTTTGAATCGTTGCACGGCCTTGCAATGCAAGCTAGAAAAGCCAGACTGTAATCAGCAGACATGGCAGAAAGCAGCGATTGGCGAATGCCGCTGCGCCAAGCTCGAGATATGCTGCGCGCCGTACCGGTGGAAGCCTTGCGGGCTGCGGAGGCAGAGCTTACGGACATGCTTGCCGAGTTGGCATCGCGGCGCGCGAAGAGTCTCGATGAGGCTGAAATGGACACTGCAATCATGCATGACCTAGAGCTTCAGGGTTACCGTCTGGAAGCTTCTCCGAACACGCAGTCATCGTTGCCGGATGACTCAGCCCTTTTGGCACACGAGATGAAGCAGAAGCGGAGGCGCTTGAAAGGAAAGACCTGCACAGCCCCGCTGCCATTGAAGGAGCCATCATTTGACGACGAAACCATCCGCGACAGCCCACCCCAAGACAGGTTCAACGATGCTGACAGTTGCGACGAGACAGTGCAAAGTACAACTGGTATGCAGGACGGGTGCAGCCAACGGAGCCATTGTTTCTGATTTCCTGCTTTGCAGAGCATGTAAGACCATGGTGTCAGAAGAGGTGCTTTCAATAAGACTGGGAGGTGTAGCCAGGCATCTAAAACAGGAGGAGACGGCTTCCGCTGCCGAAGACGAAGCGCCTGAGTTCCCTCAAAGTGCGTCTGGCCTGGAGGACTTTTCCATGGTTAATGTGTTCGAAGTGCTTGGAAGCATTGCCAATTCAGATGCATGACTGAAGACCCCGGATTTCCTACGCATCTTTCCTTGCAGGAACTGGTCTGTGACGAGGCAGAGACCATCTTTGTGAGCCGGAAGGCCGAACTGAGTCTTATCCCTGAAAAGTCACTGGGTAATCGCAGGGCATTTGATTTCCTGTTGATGTGGCAGTTCTGCAGGAGCGTTCAGCACATGAATGGGGTTGTTTGCTGCAAACCAGCCCTTTGGCGAGGCATTCTGGGCTCTGCAGCGCAGATATTCCAGCAACGCCACAATTTCGAGGGAAAGCATCCACCACCTGTTTGACACCAGCAGCATTTGCGATGGGGAGGCGGAGGGTCGCAAAAAGAACACCTTCTCAGACACTCCAAGTGATGATGCACTCTTCCAGGCCCTCGTTGCCTTGGATGCATCGCAGCTGGTTGAGCACTGGCCATCTTCTGCCGTTTCAGGCGTTGAGGCAGCGGCCGTCCATGTACGGGATTCAAAGCCCCACCGCTTATAGGTTGAACGTCGGCCATATTCCCTTTGACAGGCCAACACCTGAAAAAAACGGACATCCATAGCAACACATGCTGTAGACTTCTCGCACTGAGGGCAACTTCACAAGATACGGGTGACAAGGAGGCTTAATCTATAATGATGCCAGAGTTGTGGGTTTGACGCCTCGCGCACTAGTGTACATGTAAATACGGTCTTGCAAGTTTCTGCTGTGCCCCGAACGGCTAAGTTCTATTCTAGCATGGAAGTTACGTTCAGATGGTTGAATTGCTTGAGTGCTTCAGGCGCTCCTGGCCTTGGGGATGCCGGAAGCGCTGCGACGACTCTTTGGGGCTCTGGTGGGTTGCTGGGCTTAGACACAGCTTCTGCTGTTTGAGCCAAGGTTAGGGTGAGATGGATGTAGCGAACTTTAATTCTCACTGCTTCTTCCAGCCCACTGAATTGCCTCTTTGACGTACTTCAGGAAGCGGCTCGGCGGCGCTGGAAGGAGAGGACGGGGAGGAAGAAGAGCGCGAGGAAGATGCTTGCGTTCAAGACGTGCAGGAAAAAGCAGCAAAAAGGCCGCTTCTTGTTTTGTGGTCTGAGGACTGGGAACTCCTTGGAATGCTTCGCCTGGAACTCTCACGCTGTACACCACCTCCTCGCTCCTTCAGCGCACAAAAACATGTAGCTACACCGGTCAGGGCAGAAGATGCCTTTGCACCCTCTCGTGGGTGCTTGTCCCCCAACTCTTTCGACACAGAGCTCTTGTCTACCGTCCCTGGCCAAATGCTCGCAAACATTCTCAAACCCTGGAGGTCCCATGGATGAGGAGTACGATGTTATTGTTTGTGGCACAGGCTGTGGGCTCAGTGCGATGGATGTGCTGAAGCCCCATGACTGTCGTTGGCTGTAGCTTTGCCTTTGATGCCTTGCACCAACCAGATTGCTCTTACTTACTGTTGAAGATGTCTAGTCTAGCGCAGCAGAACTTCAAATTAGATGGTGTGCTCTCAGACGGGATACTGGAGGGAGGTAGCGCGGCTGAAGCATGACCGTATCAGTAACTGCACTCAAAGACTGAGAGCTGCGGACAGCAGCGGGCTCAAACTGCTGTGTTTAGTACTACCATAGCATCATGCTTGTCAAATTCATTTCCTCAGAGATATCCAGCATCATGTATCTTAGTGATTTTCCATGGTTGTCAGAGCATTCAGAGCAGACAGTGAGCAAAAGCCTGCTCCCAATGACTGGGCATGAGAGTTTTTCCAGCCTCCGCACACAGCCCGAGACCTTTGTTGCCTTAGTCGGAGGGGGGTTCGACACATGACTGAACGAACAACAGACTCAAAGCTGCCGAAGTCGTGGCTTTGGTTTGGCCAGATTGCTTCTTGGCTGCTCGCTTTGGAAATCAGGAGCTGCAGTATGACATTGCTGTATGATTGCATGTTTCCCAAGTTTTGCTTGTTCCTGGTGCGGATGGTCAGGTGTCATGTCACTATCGCGCAGCAACCGAGGACCTGGCCATTGGGTAATGAGACCCATGCAAGCTGCACTCTGATGACATGGTAGCAATCTGGAGTGTGGATGCTTTGATGGACTGGAATGTAGTCTGCAACTTGTCGCGGGAGTCGTGCCACTCAGCCAGGAGTAGGGGTTCGTTTTGTCTGGATGTTTCGAGGGGAGCCTCCCAACGAGCTGCAGCCTGACCACGTCCCAAAGCCCTCGTGATCTCCTTTCCGCACTACAAGGACAGCGCTGCTGATGCGCTTTCGCTTCTCCGCGCTTCTGGTCTCTGCGTCACACGCGCTCGGCCTGGAGCCGGTTGTGCCACCTGGAGCACTGGAGCAGCGCAATATGTTTAACAGTGGCTTGCGATCCATGGGCTAGGGCGGAGGGCAGGGTGTTCAAAGTTCAAGACACGGCGCTCTGGCGTCACTTAAAACAGGAAGGGTGACGCGTATGCTCTGCGAATCCTTTTTGCTTTAGTTAGAACTCTTGTTTGTGTGGGAGAGTTATCGCTTTCCATCGCTTGCGCTGCTCTTCCAGCTTGTGGAAGATGTGGTGCTGCGAGACATGCATCCCAAGCTGCCTGGGGCAACTGCTTTGCATGCGCAAGCGGTCTTCTAACCCGTGTAAAGGTATGGCGGCTTCATCACGCCCATGAAGGCAACCTCTCGCCAGATCCGAGCTTTGGACTAACCAGGGAGATGCCAAGGTCTCAACTGCCCGAAGTGCCTATGGGAAGAAGCGCAGAACTGGTGGAGACTTCCCATAAAAATAGTTCCGTTAGCTGTCAACACATTAGGTCATGTGATCAGATGTTGGATCGCCTGTGTTTACGCAAAAGGCAATCCAAATTTGAACGGTTCCGTGCCGAGATGCTGAAAGGGTAGTGGGTATTCGCAGGCACTTTGTTTGCATGCATCTGCTCAGTTTTGACGAATCCCGAGGATTCTGGGAGAAGCTGAAAGCCGAGGGTATACCGTTGGTTGCTACTCGAACGCGTGACTCTGCCTACAAGCGCATCAGCTCCCCTGCAGCAGATTCAGATTGAATGCTGATGTAGAGTTGAACCCAGTGAGAGTTGCGCAGCTGTGGTGATGATCACAGTCACTTTGAAGACTTTTGAAAAACGTATGGTCTGTCCCTGAACCGATCTGACAGAGGCGGCCATGCTGTAGTGGTGAAGCAGCTTGGCATGCA